AATCTTGATTTATTCAAAATCTTGATTTATCAGTTATTCAAAATCTTGATTTATTCAAATCAGTTATTCAAAATCTTGATTTATTCAAATCAGTTATTCAAAATCTTGATTTATTCAAATCAGTTATTCAAAATCTTGATTTATCAGTTATTCAAAATCTTGATTTATTCAAATCAGTTATTCAAAATCTTGATTTATCAGTTATTCAAAATCTTGATTTATTCAAATCAGTTATTCAAAATCTTGATTTATTCAAATCAGTTATTCAAAATCTTGATTTATCAGTTATTCAAAATCTTGATTTATTCAAAATCTTGATTTATTCAAATCAGTTATTCAAAATCTTGATTTGTTCAAATCAGTTATTCAAAATTTTTAATTCAGACTTTAAAAAAAACAAATCAGTTATTTTATCAATTACAAGAAACTAAAATAGATTATTGACGTCTGAACACCGGTACAAAGAAACTTTACTTTCGAATGATGACTCGCTGAACATTACTTTTTATATTCCTTTTTATAGCTGCATGATTTATTGATTATTCTGAATGGCTTTGAAGAGAGTAAAAGATACATCTAAACATTAAGTGCCATAAAACAGTGTTATGTACCCATTATTGTCATAAGTAGCATCTCTCTCACAAGTAATGATCACTTAAACCATTATCCACTTGTACGTTTTGGACTTCCACTTAAATAATCAATAAAGTTTTAAATGCTATTATAAGCCCATTTTATATTTTCTCCAATTTGTATTCCGGGCCTGATACCACTCTCTTGAAAGAGATATTTAATATGTTTGCAAAATAATTCATGGAAACGATGTAACATTAAATACACTCTAAAATAAATTCCACAGACCTGGAGCCGTCTTCCAGTAATTCCTTCATTTATTCGTATAAATAAGAAATATAATGCGATAAAGAGCTTGTTATCAAATGCAAATAAGGATTACACTAGAAAGAGCTGGCTGAAATTGAAGAGAGGGAGTAAAGTAATCCTTTATTTGAGCAGAACAGTGGATTGTGTGTAGAAATCCAACTTTCTACTTTAAAAGATAACTTCTTTTAGATCTAAAGTTAACAGTTTCAGAAACTTTGATTGCTCATATTTGTAACTTATTTATAGAAATAAGAAGTTTCAGTTTCGAAATAGTAAATCTGGTCCAAATAAATATTTATAATATACAAAAAAAAAATTAAAAATACAAAATGTTGCTCAGTACTATAAATTTTTCTTTATTCTTTTATTTATTTAAAACATTTGAAATAATTTAATGTTTAGATAAAAGCGATAATACTGGAGACAGCAAGTGATTGAAAAAGTGAAAGAAAAGTTAATATTTTAAATTATTTAAGTCAATAGTTAAAATATTTAAAATTATTAAGTGTGTGAGAAAGTTAATTTTTAAAATTATTTTTTAACATTTCTTTTAGTTTCGTCAGAAATTGGATTTCGCACCAGAAAAGCTTTGATTTTAGTGCGCAATATTTTAATGGTGATAAAATGCTTTGTAAAAATTTCATATTATATTCAACCACTGTAAATATACGTATAATACAGTACAAAAAATATATACATCTTATTTTAAATTGTTGTACAAAAATATAAACATATGTGATTCTTGATATGTGTCCCTTTACAATCATAGAATTCCTTATAATATTAAATAGAAAAGAAACTATTTGTGTTTATTAAGATCAAATAATTTAGAATTCAAAAGGGCGTGATTCAACATGATATTGAAGATTCATGTTACAAAATCATACATTATTAAATAAAAAATAACAATAAATTTAGAAAAAATTTAAAAATGTACATGCGCTCTAAATTTATAATAACATACACACACCCATATATATATATATATATATATATATATATATATATATATATATATATATATATATATATATATGGGTAATATAATATATTGTAAGTATATATATATATATATATATATATATATATATATATATATACTTAAATTTAATTTTGTAAGATAAAATATACAGTAATTTTAGAAAAGTAAAATCTTAATTTATTTTTAAAATTGCCTGAGTTAGAGACTCAAGACGTTTAAAAAACTTTTTAAGACTAAAAAAGATGACCAAAATGTTTTAAGCCTGCAAAAATTTTAATTAATTTTTTTTAAGTATTAGAAAAATAAATTAGTAATTTTAATTAATCAGTGAAATTTAATTGAAATTTATTTTCTATTTTTCTTTGTAGATAACAGAAGCTGAGCTATTCGTCAAACTGACATCCTAATCTCCAGAGCCGTAATACTAATTAAATTGTTCAAAATAATGTGCTCAACAAAAATAATTCCTCTACTGTATTAAACATTTTAACATGTTTAAAGTATTATCAATACCTCAACAAAGGCTAATGTGATAAAATTTATGTATATATTTTTGCAATATACTGATAAATTATATGCAAAGAGAAATATATCTAATTGTGGCTGTTTTCTTTACTGAATAGTTGCTGTTAAAATAATTTCACCAAAAATTACTACCGATGTAAAATTACATTACATGAATTTTTGATACTTGTAAGTAATGAATTCTTCTGATTAATATAACATATTGTACGAACACTTATATCAATCAAGTTTTGCTTATAGGAATTTATTTAAATCACTACTTTTAGAAGGAATAGACTAAGTAGTGTCTTGTATTCGTTAGTCAGATTGCCTGGTAAGAGTCTTCTGAGTATTATCCCTTGCAACACCCAAAAATGGTGCGATTACCCTTAAAGTTGGAATTCAACCAGATATTAAAATCTCATGTCGTAGCAATTCAGCAAATCAAAAGTCTTATCTTCATCATTCTCAGGCTTCCGATTGGTTAATGTTATACAACGCGACAATATTTGATGGATCCATTGCTTATATATGTAATATATGTATATAATATGTATGTATATGGTGTGTGTGTGTGTGTTATCGACAATGTATAATAAGCAGGTAATATTATATGTAATGTTTGAGTAATATATAGAATATCTGCCATTTGGGACAAAGTATAAAATATTCTAGTTATTTTATGTACTTGCTCTAGACATTATATAAAATGATCGATGCTATTATAAAATTATTCCCTTCCTTGTATGCTACAACGAGGTTCATATTATTAGGCTATATGTGCTTTTTCATATATAACCTAATAATTTTTCATATTATTGAGATTCCTATTATTACCTTTCCTTCTTTTGATATTAACTAGATTCATATATCTTATTATCTATCTGTTTTCTGCATTAATTAAATTCTATTTATTATTTTGATGTATTCTATTTATATTTTGATTTTTTTCATTAAAAGCCTTGTCATTAACGCTTTTAATATTTTTGTTAAATAGCATTTATTATTATATATAACGCTTAGAAACAGTATACAAACAATTAAGTTATTTTGTACTTCTCTTTAAATAAACGCATTCATGCATTCTGCACATTGCCTAGCCATACTAAAACAATGCCTACTTTACTAAAAAGGAATCTCTTATTGCAATTTTTACTTTTTAGTTATACGTTCATTAGTTATACGTCTATATACAGTTTGTTTGTTATAAAAACGTATAACAAACAAACTGTATATTGAATTATAATTTTAATTTCATGATTTTTTATAATTTTAAAATTATCTTCATAAAGAAAATAACAAAAATACATTTTTAAATAATGTTCTTAAATAACTTAACAAGGCAAATTATTACAGAAATAAAAATTTTATAATAAATGGTAGAGTGTATTATATTGTATATTATACACTCTACCCTTAAAAAGGGAAGCTCGTATTTCAATTTTTACTTTTTAGTTATATGTACATTGTTTATAAACTGTTTGCTGTACTTTATGCCATTGAATTTTTTAATTTCTTGATTTTTTATAATTTTAAAATTATTTTCCTATAGAAAATAACAAAAATCAATTTTAAAATAATAAACTTAACAAGGCAAATGATTAGAGAAATAAAAATATTATGATGAATGGTAGAGTGTATTATATTGTATATATTTTTTAATATCATCTATTATTAATCACATTTATGATAATGTAAAAGGAAGTGCAAAATCCACAATTTTATCCTGTCTGCAGCAAATAAATATATTTCTATTTTTGGATTGCAAATTAACATTTAATAATTAAAAAAAAAATCTAAATAAAAATTATTACTTCCCGATTTCTACAGACTGAAAAAAATACATATAACTTAATTTCGAATTCTCTTTTAAGTAATTCCAGAACACAAAATATAAATCCAGAAAGAAAAAAAAATATTTTCTTATTTGCAGTTTCGATTATAAACCATCACCGTTTCATAAAAATAAAAACTCACAATCTCACAAAAATCTCTTCAATTTAAAGAGTGACAGTTAATTTTATTTATTAAGACAAATCTTCACAATCTCAAAATGTTTCTATCTTGAACGCATAAAACAGTTTTATAGAAGATGGATCAATTAGATATTTCGCCTGGACGATCGACGTTCAAATTTCTTCTAAGTCTAAAGAATCTGGGAATAAACTGACACGTATTTTGTATCGTTATTGATTACGTCCAAGAAAGAGAGAGTTGTTGTTGTCCAAACAAACAAATCCTCAGATTAGTGAAAGCCTTTTCAGATCAGAGGAAGATTTGTCACTGGGAAAGTGCTTAAATTCCGCCCTCTATTATATTTGTAATTAGCGCATAAGAACTAATTACACCAGCTTAGAGCTTATCATTTAACTAACCACATCCAAATAGTTAATAGAATGGTTCAATAAGAAAAAAAGGGGTTGTTGTCGAAAAGTCTCAACAAAAAATATAATGTCATTGTAAGACTTATATTTTCCTAAAATATACCGGTTCTCGTTAGATCACCGAAGTCAAGTCAGTCGGGGGGTGAGGAATGAGGCACCAATGCCTTAAAGGCTTACAACCTCAAGTGCTAAGATGGTAAGGTCTGGCAAGTATTAAAGAGATAACGTTTGTATAATAAAATGACTTTCACCGAAGTCAAGCATCATTGGGCGCGGTCAGTACTTGGGTGGGTGACCACCTGGAAACACCGCGTGCCGTTGGCAAATTTGGGACCTGAATGGCCGAGTGTCTAGCGCTCTGGCGCTCGGTGCCACAGGTTTCGGGTTCGAATCCCGGCGGTGCCATGGATGTTTGTAGTGGTTCGGAATCCACTTTAAGCTGTAGGTCCCAGTCTCCTATGACTGTAAGAGCGTCACGGAGCAAAAGTCAGGCTTCTACCTAAGGGTGCTCCATCAAAACAGAAGCTGCTTCCTTCCCCTTCAATCATGAGTACGTATGGGCTCGTGGGCTTGGCCGACCAAGTGGGATAAGAAACAACAACAACAACATTTTCTAAAGTAACTTGTTAAATTTCAAGTTTAATTTCTGAACTTAGAGTTCTTGTTTCAAAACTGAATAAAAAGTTATTTGTGTATGTCAGAGATCAGGAAGATTTGTCACTGGGAAAGTGCTTAAAATCCGTCCTCTATTATATTTGTAATTAGGGCTTAAGAACTAATTACATCAGCTTAGAGCTTAACATTTAATCAACCACATGATAATAGTTAATAGAATGGTTCAATCAGTTAAAAAGGGGTTGTTGTCGAACAGATACGGAAAAAAATATAATGTCATTGTAAGACATACATTTTCTAAAGCAACTTGTTAAATAGCAAGCTTAATTTATAAACTTAGAGATGTGTTGCTCTAAACTTAAAGAAACCATGTTGTTTCAAAACTGAATAAAAAGCTATTTGTGTATGTCAGAGATGAGGAGGATTTGTCTCTGGGAAAGTGCTTAAATTCCGCCCTCTATTATATTTGTAATTAGTGCATAAGAACTAATTACATTAGCTTAGAGCTTATTATTTTACTAAACACATCATAATTGTTAATAGAATGGTTCAATCAGTTAAAAAAGTGTTGTTGTCGAACAGCCTAAGCAAAAAATGTAACGTTATTGTAAGACTTAAATACATTTTCTAAAGCAACTTGTTAAACAGCAAGTTTAATTTCTAAACTTAGAGATTTTGTTTCAAAACTGAACACAATGTTCTTTGCGTATGCCACAGATGAGCATGATAAATCAGTAGGCAAAAAAGTCCTTCCGCGAACGGGAGTGGTAAATCCACGATTCCATTTCTGGGAAAATTAAATCGCCAAAGTTGTGTTGGAAATATGTAGGTGCTGAGTGGCAAGCCTTTCGTAGGACATGTACCCTAATTAATACTGGATCTGTTACATATTCATCATTTTAGTGATTAATGACTTAAAGTTTCAAAATTCAAAAATCGCTATATATATATATATATATATATATACACATCATGCTGATTAAATTTAAGTATCAGTAAAATACATACATTTATAGAAATCATAAAGTAAAATTAAATTAGTTATCTTTTCACAAATATTTAAATACAATTTTAGTAAATACTAAAATTGTATTCAGTTCTTATTGACTATAAATTTAACATTTCAATTATCTGTAATTATAATGATTAATTACGCACTTTTATATCTATATTAATATTTAAAGACGATATCAAAAATTTCTCAGTACACATTGTAAAAGCCTACAGTTACAGATAATTGGCTTTAATGGTTATAATTTTTGATTCATAAAATAGTGCAATTATTTTTATTATTTCACTTCTTATATTACAGCATTTAGTGAACTTTTAAAAATATTCGGAGTAGAAAATTTAAAATTATATCGATAAAAAAAATTAAATTAATTTTAACAATTTAAAAGATTCAAAATGAAAGATTCAAAATAAAAGATTCAATTTAAATACTCTGCTAATTCCATAATATGTATATTAATCCATTTGATAAACATTAGTCTCAAGTAGTCTATACAATGAATGAAGACTATTAGATTATAAAAATAAATTAACAACGTTTTTTCGTTACAAACATTAACAAAATTCATTTAACAAGATTTTAAAATATTACTATCATGAAATCATTTCTCATTTTTCATCGAAATTTATGAACTTTATTGAAATAATATTCAATAAAGTTCATAAATTTCTTTCATTCTTATTTTAATAAGTTAATTTAAATAAGTTCAAAATAAGTTCATTTCTTTATTTTATGATTCATTTATTATCACGTGTGATTTTAACCTATATATTTTGAATTTAAATCTTAAAATAAATATTTCTTTAAACGTTAAAAGTGGTATAACATAATAAATAACATAAAACGTAAGGAATATCTAAATATTTTATTTTAGAAAATGTAAGGATAAATAATCAATTAAGAAAATTATATTTTATTAAAAACAATTTCTCGATACCTGTAGGAAATAATATAAATTTAATCCTAATGACATTATAACTCATTTTGTTAAAGAAAGGAAGCAAAGGAGATATAATATTTTTCGTGCTGTAGAAATAATACCTTAAAAATAAATTTATATATTTCCTATTTTTTTTATTCCAACAGTTGGCTATTGCTATTTTCAAGCCAAATTTTCGTATTACTTTATTCTATTTCTTATTGTAAATAAAATGAAATGCCGTTGAAATTCAACTTTGAAATTATATTTTCCTTTGTAACTTTAAAAACGAAAACACTGTGCAACCTTACAACGATAATTCATTCTAAATGGAATTAAATGTCTTCCTTTAAAGGAAATAGCACCACGGTAAAGGGAAAATAAAATTTTGAGTTTCCTACTTAAATATCTTTTTAGTTATATATTTAAAAGTCAGATGCAAGAAGCATCAGAAAGTCATCTACATACGTTCAAACTGCTGCATTGAAATTCAAATACCGTAATAGATGTGATATCTTACTTGCAGCAGCTTGTGAGGCTGCGATCAGGGTTTGAGAAATACAATTGGCGTCTGGATTGACAACTGATTGCTGCAAAAACTGTTTTCAATGGAAATAGTTTTCACGATAAACGTTTAAAATATTTTGAATTCAAAATAATTCAATTAATTGGATATATTAGTTAACAAGTATTTCTGAAAATCATAAATAAAGCAATAAGCAATTTTATCCTATTTTTTTTATTTTAAAATATTTATCTCACACCTCTGACATAACATGGGAAATATACCATTGTGGTTTATATTTTTATACATCATTTGATTTAAATGATTGTATATCTATTTTAATGAAGCATTTATTTTTATATCTATTTTAATGAAGCATTTGTTTTTATATCTATTTTAATGAAGCATCTGTTTTTATATCTATTTTAATAAAGCATTTATTTTTATATCTATTTTAATAAAGCATTTATTTTTATATCTATTTTAATAAAGCATTTATTTTTATATCTATTTTAATAAAGCATTTATTTTTATATCTATTTTAATAAAGCATTTGTTTTTATATCTATTTTAATGAAGTATTTATTTATTTCATATCTATTTTAATGAAGCATTTATTTATTTCATATCTATTTTAATAAAGCATTTATTTTTATATCTATTTTAATGAAGCATTTGTTTTTATATCTATTTTAATGAAGTATTTATTTATTTCATATCTGTTTTAATGAAGCATTTATTTTATATCTATTTTAATGAAGCATTTATTTTTTTAATAATACCATTTATTTTTTTATTATTATGTTGAAGACAACTGTAATAAATTTTCTTCCTTCGTTTATTGTATTTCAATTTTTATTATGTTCCATTACATTCTCAATAAAAATGAACAAGGTATTTCATTTTTCAAATATATTAAATTTTAAATTTGTAAAGAAGGGAAATCAGCAATTAAATTAAATAATCTTGTCAAAGCAGTAATTTCGGGGGGTTTTTTGTTGTTGTTTATAATTTGAATAAGATGAAATATCGTAATAGATGTAATATCTTACTTGCAGCAGCTTATGAGGCTTCGAACAGGGTTTGAAAGATACAATTGATGTCTGGATTGACAACTGATTGTTGCAAAAACTGTTTTCAATGAAAATAGTTTTCTCGATAAACGTTTAAAATATTTTGAATTCAAAATAATTCAATTAATTATATATATTAATTAACAAACATTGCTGAAAATCGTAAATAAAAACCCATATTTAATTTGCATTAAAATGTTTATCACACCTCTGACATAAAAGTGCAATATACCATTGTGGTTTACATTTTTATACATCATTTGATTTAACTGATTGTATATATATTTTAATGAAGCATTTATTTGTCATGATAAATAATTTTTGTTTTTTTTCGTTTGTTGTATTTCAATTTAATTTATGTTTCCTTACATTTTCAATAAAAAGGAACAACATTTTTCATTTTTAAAATTAATTAAATTTTAAATTTGCAAAGAAGTGAAATCAGCAATTAAATTAAATAATCATGTCAAAGCAGTAATGCTGTTTTTTTTTTGTTGTTGTTGTTGAAAAACAACGTTTAAACGTTTAAAATATTTTGAATTCAAAATAATTCGATTAATTACATATATTAATTAACAAGTATTTCTGAAAATCATCAATAAAGCAACCTATTTTTTTTATTTAAAATATTTATCACACCTCTGACATAATAGGATAATATACCATTGAGGTTTATATTTTTATACATCAGTTTAAAATTATTGTATATCTATAATAATGAAGCATTTATTAGTTAAAAGCAACTACAATAATTTTTTCTTCTTTCATTTACTGTATTTCAATTTAAATTATGTTCCATTACATTCTCAGTAAAAAGGAACAAGATTTTTTATTTTTCAAATTAATTAAATTTTAAATTTGTGAAGAAGTGAAATCAGCAATTAAATTAAATAAACATATCAAAGCAGTAATATTGGGAGTTTTCTGCTGATAATCTGAATCACATGAAAAGATGAATTATAATTTATTGAATTATGTGTCAGATGTAATTTTCCATTAGTAAATAATAACGCTCTAAATATCGTAATAAAATTATGTATTTCAAATGTATGAGACATGTTTAATTATATGGTTTCTGGATGAATGTTATAAAGCCATTTTTATAATTATTTTATAACAACCATTTCAAATAAGGTATCAAATTTTGCTCACTAATTATATCAAAAGTGTTTCAAAATTACTCATTGCAAAACTGT